AATAAATGGAGGCTGATGCTTTTAAATATTTCCACTGTTGAATTGTTAAGTTTGTTTTTTTCCAAGTTTTGATGCTATTTTATACAATCAGTAATATTTCTCTTCTGGTGTAATTTAGTGCAGGCATGTGTCATGAAATCTAAAACCATGTTTTTCAACCTTCTTAACATACAGTTACTATAATTGCTGTAACAGCCATACCAAGTGCTAATTCTTGCTGTCAAGCCTGCATTTCATCCTTCCACTACATTTATCAGTGTAGACTTTGTATTAGCTGAGTGGCATGTATGGTGTTTTTTGATTGCCATGCCCCTGGCTCTAGAGACTGTGAGAAGTGATAATATAGCCAAACCAAATATTGTCAGAGAGAAGGAGGACAAAGAAATAAAGCAGTGAAAACGTTAACAAGTGGAAACCTTCCTATGGGTTGTTGGAAGTCTTTACATGAGAGGAGTGGGAATGAGAAATGGCAGGACATGGGTAGTAGTGCAGATTTGGTCATGGTTCCTCTTCCTATGAAAATATTTAGCGTGCATTCATGTGCATTCATAGCTGCTCAGTGCAGATTATCTCAGTGCAGCACTGGGGAGGATGAGAGTGGCACAGCATAATCATCAAACATCTGGCATTCCACACTCGATGCTATTCTGATCACTTAACTGAGCCAGGGCTTTCAGTTTGGTAAATCAGAGGACTTTCAGGCAGTTCTGATGTGATGTATGAATGCAACATGGCTTATGCTAGTGGGTTGTCAATAAATGGGAAAGGTTTAGGGAATTAGCTGATACACGGTTTAGGAGTCTAGGATTTATATGAGCTACTTGTGGCAAAAGTTAAAAGCAGTTTGAATTGTCTCTGGACACAGTGGTTGCAATCCCTTAAGTAGCTGGCCTCTTCCTCTGAAGGGCAGAGTTGCATCAAATCTCTACAGATTTCATTGGGAACTGAGGGCAGCAGACTGCTCTCCAGTTGGAGCCCTTCTTGCAGCCCAGGTTTCTTTGACTTTTGTCAAGGCTTTTAAAGACACAGTCATGTTTCACTGAAAATGTATACAGAGAAATTACTTTGTTTCTATTATATTTGTTATAGTTGGATGATTTTGGGGGAAGAAGAATTATATTTTTTTGAGCCTGATTTTGAATTTGCTTATGCTAATGCAAATAGGATGAGAGTGAAGTAACTAATTTGCTTTGTGAGTAAAAAAATGTCATAATTGCAGTCCTTAATTTTTATAAAATCTATTTGACATGAAATAAAGGTTGAGTTACTTCCTTTTTTTCTTCCTATAGCATTTAAACAAAATAAATTACACGTGTGCTTATTCTTGTGCATATGTAAGCATATGCTCATTTTTGCTTTAGATACTCAATCTCCTTTTTGCAGCACAAATTTGGATATAGCCAGGAGCATACATACAAACCTAGAAACCTAATCTTCCTGCATAGTGAAAGATACCTTTATTGGATAGCTCAGAGCACTTATTTTGGATAGCAGTTTCTCACTTCTGCACCCAAATCAGTTTCTGAACCTGTTATCTGTAAAAGGAAAATAAGTGCACTGTCCAATTTCCCTGACAGTTAAGTACTTTTTTTTTTTTTTAAATGGTGGTCACACAGGTAACAAAACCAAATAGATAATATTAGATTTTTCATTTTCTGAATTGTTTTGTATCATTTTATACCTTTTAACTTAGTGACCATATGGATTTTAGGCTTCAACAGATAAGGAAAAAAAATTATTTGCAGTATTTCTTTTCTACTAGCACCTAGACCTCTGTGATTGATCGGTTAGATACTGTGTTATTATACAGCACAACCAATGTTTGCCATAAAGACTTGATATTCCAATATATAAACAAGGGGGAAAATTAGTGAATAAAAGAAATAGATGGAGAATTACCAACAGGCAGGAAGATTAATATTCCTAAATGAAAAAAAATCCTAAATATATTTTGCTTTTAAAAATAATTATCTAAATTTTTAAATGAAATTCTAAATTGGCTGTCCCAAATACAAGAATGTTACAGCTGAATATTTCAAAATAATACAAATGTTACTCTTCATTTCAAGAAGATCAGGATTGCTTACTTTTTGCATTGCATTTATGTTTTGTTCAAACCAAATTTTCACTGGAATGTAATGTTTTTGTCCTCATATAAAATAGATGCATACTATCTAATTATTTAATTCATATATGTTCTTAAAACATGTCCTGTGTGTAAATATGTGAAATATTGACCGTGGCAGGGGTCATATTTGAAAGGGTATTATTGGTATATTTCTAAACTAATAGCATTTAAAAGAGTTGCCAATGAATGAAACAATAGTGTGTTTCCAGATCAGATATTTAGAAAGGGGTGTCTTTATTTCTGAAGCAGACAAACATATATTAATCCAGCACATTAAAGTTTATGTTTTTGGGTTTTTTTTCAAAATACATTATAATTTTTATGGGTTTTGTAATGCTAAATACAAAATCATGTCTGGACAAGGAGGGAGTGAATGAATTAGGAGAAACAGATCATTCTTTATCTCTCCTCTGATTAGACAGATAATTTTGCTGGATAACTAGAGCTGTTAGTGGTAACCTAATGAACATTGGTGCATCTAGTGAGAAAAGTGACAGTTTCTCATTGCAAAAATTTTTCTTGTTGCATAGAGAAGAGTTCCTTTTTAATTTTGTGGCTGAATTAAGCCATTGCTTTACTTTACTACATCCATCTTTTAGAATAATCCAGCTATGTAACAGTGACCTGGATTTCCATATGTTGTATATGTAACTAAAATATTACAGGTGCAACAACACTGTGCTGGCATTAAATATCCTATTTACATCTGAAATCACATGTATGGTTATAAGAGTGTATTTTTGTACCTTCTTATGTTTTTAGGTTTTTCACTTAAATTTACATAGGCACGTATGCCTGACTTGATCAGAACTATGCACATTGCTTATCGAAATCTCCTACAGAACCTGTTAGTGGGTCTTAAACCAGTGGAGGCAAGTAAATGTTTTCTATAGTATGCAGCACAAAACATAATAATGAGAGGTGTGCAGTGCTGCATTTTTGGAGTGTTGCCAAAAAAAGAAAACAAACACCAAAAACATATGAAACAAAAAAAGCAAAAACAAAACCCAAAAATAAACACCTACAAAAAAATTGCAAAAATTGGGACAATTCTTTTTTTCAGAAATTAGTTAATGTATTTTGTATCTAGAACTGAAATATCTAATCAAAACTAAGAGTTGTTTCTTTCTTTTTATGATAGGAAACTAAAAAAGGTTACCTTAAAATTACCAAATACCTTAAACTACATTTAAAATTACTAGGAGGTGTCCTGACTTAAAACTAAGTCAGCATGCAAATATATATAAAAAATGTGTCATTATGTATTTAAGTATATATTCTGTGATTTTTTTCTAGGATTATTAATATATGGATGGATTAAAATTTTTTTTTCAATACCCTACTTTCATGTTACCTTTAGAATAAGTCATCAACTGATAGATTTTTTTTTTTATTCTATAGAACATGTTCTCTTTTGATGCCAATGAAATTCTGAATTAAAAATTATTTTTATAATTTAAAACAAATCAGTGCAAAATACAGTATGATATATTATTATTTTTAATGCACATAATGTGTAGTTGGAAAATATAAGTGTTTCTCAAATTTCTAGTATGCTGGATTCTCAAAGATATTATTTTAATGCTAACATAACCATTGGAAACATCTACGTTTTTTCTAGCTTTATTTGTAGGGCATGCATATTGGTTTGCAATTAGTTTGACTTTATAATGAGGCAGTAAAAAAAGACTATTACTAATGACATTTAATTGTATTTTGTATTGTTTTGGTGCTAAGACTTTCAATAGAATTTTGCTGAAAGGACTGAAAAGTGTTGCCCCTACATATATTCCACAAAATTGGATGAATGGATATCTGAACACAAAGCTACTAAAACCAAAACTTTTGTAAAATGAAACATCTTATTAATTCAATGTCCTAAAATAGACAGTACATTAGAACTTTGGGACACATTTGTAAAAGGTATATCAAAAACAAAAACTATGAAAAATATGTATAAGTATTGAATTTTTATCCTGGGCATCATTCTTCACTCATAGCAGTAAGTCAGTAATACATTTATTGACATTAATTACGTTGTGTCAGTTTGAAACTTGTTTAAACAGAAGAAAAGGTAGGATTTATAGATAAATAACTTGTTTGAAACCATTTGATAAACTTTTACATGTACATATACAAATGCCGTGTTTTATACTCTCAAAATCTCAGCTCTTAGATACCCTTTCCTGTAAAATTTAATTTCCATTGGCTGAACAATAATAATACAGTGTATCAGATAATGAATTTCCATGCTGTGATATGGGTCACAGGTTAAAGAATCAAGATCATGTCCTGTTCAAGACCACCTATTTCATTTGTCCAAGGTTTAGCCGAATTGTTTTGCTTGTGGTTTTTTGTTTGTTTTGGTTTTGGTTTGTTCTGTTTCTTTCTTTCTTTTTATTTTTTTTTAATTATTGCTACTGTAGATGTTTTAAAGGAAGGTAAAGAATTTCAGACAAATTTTGCCAAAGAAGTTGTTTTGCTACATTTGCCTGGAAAGAGAGGAATCATGTGAAAATACTCATTTTGATACAATCTAAGATAATCTTTCCCTATGAATATAATAGCTGCATTTGCTTAATCTTTTGGTCTGAACTCTAGTATGCTGAAAGCAGTATTTTCTGTGGGAGAATGATAAAAATTATTTTCCTGTTAATTTACCTTTAAAAATTCTTAATATACATTTGAAACATGCAGAGCATTAAAAAGCATGATGAGCTGTATTTCTTTTTAATTTTTTTAACCCTTTCTTTTTAAAACATGGTAACTAACTTGCTTCATTCTTTTCCTTCCTTTTATAGGGTAGCAAAAATATTATAGTGTTTATGCACAAAGCAGAAGTATTATTTATATATATTTTTTTCAATTACAGGTAAAGATTATAGTTCCCAACAGCACAGCAGGTCTGATAATAGGGAAGGGAGGTGCTACAGTGAAGGCTATAATGGAGCAGTCAGGGGCTTGGGTGCAGCTTTCCCAGAAACCTGATGGGATCAACTTGCAAGAGAGGGTTGTCACTGTGAGTGGAGAACCTGAACAAAACCGAAAAGCTGTTGAACTTATCATCCAGAAGATACAAGAGGATCCACAGAGTGGCAGCTGTCTCAATATCAGTTATGCCAATGTCACAGGTCCAGTGGCCAATTCCAATCCAACCGGATCTCCTTATGCAAACACTGCTGAAGTGTTACCAACTGCTGCAGCTGCTGCAGGGCTATTAGGACATGCTAACCTTGCTGGAGTGGCAGCCTTTCCAGCAGTTTTATCTGGCTTTACAGGCAATGACCTGGTGGCCATCACCTCTGCACTTAATACATTAGCCAGCTATGGATATAATCTCAATACATTAGGTTTAGGCCTAAGTCAGGCAGCAGCTACAGGGGCTTTGGCTGCAGCAGCTGCCAGTGCCAACCCAGCAGCAGCAGCAGCCAATTTGTTGGCC